AAAAAATAGATTATCTGGGAAGGGTGTGAATTGTGAGGTTACCAAGACTCCAAATGTTGCTTTACAAAATTGAGTAGGGGTTAGTCTAGTGTTCTATGTTTGGAGTACCAGGTTTCTTCCTTCTTACTTAGCACCTGCTATTTATTTGCAACCTGTCAAGTTGTTACTTTACTAGTAATCAAAATCCAATATTGGCTTAGTCATTAAAAAACAAAGGTAAAGAAGAGTTATCTCTGGACAGCATAAATCTTAAAATATATAAAGTACACTGTATAAACTTACTGAATTGTTGAGTGGTATGTAAATGCAAATTTTTTTTTTTTATTGTTTTTAATGTAGCCCGGTATGTTTAGTCAACTGGTGACTGCTGCAGAAGACCACCCATGGCTCTGGGTTCTTTATATCTTGACGTTAGCTCTCCCTGTTGGTCTGGCTGTGTTGTTCTGCTGGCCAGCAAAGGTTAGAGAAATTTATTATACTTTTATTTGGTTTTATTCTTAATATTTGAAAATTCTTAGCATCTGTGCAACAATATGCACTTTTAATGTGCCATTGATACTACTTAGCTTATCATGTTTAATTCTTAATTTGAGTTTAAATGTAAATTTATTTTTTTGTAGAAAACAGATGAAGATATTGACTTCAAACAAATGGATATATCTAAGCCAATTACAAAGGGAGAATTAAAACAAGAGAGAGAAGAGCTAGAAGATGATGAAATAGAATTAGAAGAAGAAAAAGAAAACGAAGGTATTGCCGAAGATGGTAAGATGAGCAGGGCAGCTTGCAGTGTGATTAAAAATAAAGACATGAATGGGACTAGTTCATGGATTGCATTGCCAATAATTGCAACCAGTTATCTTAGACTATGCAAAACATGCCTTGCTCTGAGACTTTTTTCCCTCTTTGACAACCTCCAGTGAGTAGCATTCCATGGCTAATAGCTGTTTGATAAGTACAAGCAGAAAATAAGTCTCTCCTCAGTATTTTTTCACTTGCAAGAAATTAACATGCTTCCAATAGTCTTTTTTTATGCTTGTAGACAGTGATGCGTATTTTCTCCCTTCTAAATATTTCATATGTTGAACATATTTGAATGGTTCAGAAGTGGTTAAAGTCACATTGTTGTTTTTAAAATGTGTCTGGAATAGCTTTAAAAGTCTTTAACACAAGTCTTTCTGCTTACTCCTCTGGGGGAGGGCTGTACCCCAAACTACTCTTCTGTGGGTCACTGATTTTAGTGACTCCTGTTAAAGCCTGAAAATACAGTGGACTTTAAATACTGAAGTCTGCTGCTTCCTTTGTGTTGCTTTCTAGCAAGCATTGCACGCCTGCAGAGGTCTGTCCTGTTGCCCCAAGGGAAAAATCGATGATTCAGAAGGTTGAGCATCCTTTGGTTAAAGTCATCTTGCGTTACTGTATCAGAGATCACTGGTGCTATTTGACTATGGCTTTGAATAGTTCATTTCCCTGAGTCTATAGTAATGAATAAAAAAGCAAATCACCTAATTTGCAGTGCATGATCTTGACTTCCGTGAGAAAATCCTTAGCCTCAGACCTCTGCAAGAGTCTGCCTCTTAGTTCACTCTTCCTTGGTAGGAACAAAGAAAGTGACAAATGACTGGCATGGAAAGTTAGAAACCTAGCAGATTTTTGTGGGATTTTTTTTTGCTCCTGAATTACAGAATCTGCTGTTTGTTTTTTTGTTTGTTTTTTTTTTACCCAGTCCTGATTTAGATCATAGATCGTTTTGTACCTAATATGCTACTGTTGCAAGGCTGGCTGAGATACCTGAATTCCAGTATTCTTCTGTTAAGTCAGTTAGTTAATTTAGTTAATTGCAGCACATTAGTTAATAAATAATGTGTTAAAGTGTGTGTTTGAATATTAGAAATAAGGTCTAGGCATTTGCAGAGGAACACTGTTTAGCTCCCACAACTCTTTCAAAGAATTCCACTTGGAACAGCTGTTCATGATGTTTCAAAAGTAGTTTTCATTTTAGATTCCTAATTTTAGTTACTAAACTGAACGCAGAGTAAAACTAACACGGCAAGCTTTTGTGTGACTGTCCTGGCTTTGCTAGATAGTTATCTATCTAGCAACTCTAGGATAGAGTTAATTCTCTTCTTAGTAGTTAGAATAGCTGTGTTTTGGTTTCAGTGTAAGACTTGTTATGAGAAGAACATTGATAAAAATACTAATAAAAAGTAAAAAAAAAAAATAAAAAGCAAAACCAGGACAGTGACTGTTCTATGGTTTTCAAGTAAATTCTGGGCTTCAGAGGGAAGGATTACACTTTGCTGTCATATAACTTCCCGGTTTCTCCTTCTTTAAGGAAAACTGCTTAGCTTCTCACCACCTGTTACATTTGGAAGTTTAAATCTTCCCTTTTTTTTTTTTTTTTGTCACTCTTTTTGCCTCTCCATATCTGAAATCATTAGAGAATCTGTCTTCTGCCTTTTCTGCTGATTCTTTTTGCTACAGAGAGAAGAGAAATGGAGGAGACCAAAAGAGAGCTTATAAAGGATACAAAGAAGATAGGAAGGGAGGCTTCTCCTTCAGGTACTGGGACAGGGAAGTAATTTGGGCTAGGACTTGAAAATAGTCTCTCCTTTCTGTTTCTTTCCCCTTCTGCTTCCTTGTTGGTGGCAGAACTTCAGGCTGGTGGATGTCAGCTTTAATCAGATACAAATCTGATTTTCCTCTGAGATTTCTCAGCATGGTATCTGTAGTCATAAATATTTTCTGCTATTTTGGATACTAAAAATTTTTACAATTCCTTTACAGTCATTATCTGCTGCTTTGTTTTGTGGAGTTGAAGGTGACAAGGTTTGAGCTGTGGAATACTGAATGATTTGAGATCCACATTTTATCATGAAGACATTAAAAAAAAGAAAAAAAAGAAAAAAGGCAAAAGCATGTCACAATTGCAAATTTCAGAAACATTTGTAGATTTCTTTGCCTCCAGTGAGAATGATTTGTTGGCAGAGTGCTTCTTGAAGGGCATTGTCCATGGGATTTACTGTTCTGTTTTGTTCTACGTTAATTTTTGTGGCATTGCTAAAGGATGATGTGTTCTTGATTTGTCCACTCATTGGCTTTTTCTCTTTGTTTTCCTTGCCCTCTAAAAAAAAATCCAGGAAGTAAAAGACTGTTGCAAAGAGATGGAATTTCAGGAGCACAGTCTGAATGTTATTTGTGAAGTTACACATTTATTTATATGAAATACTGTTTAAATTAATATTGGACTAATGAAAATTAATAATGTAAAATGGTATAGTTCTCCAGTTTCGGCTTTTTACTGCTTCTGATATCTGAAGTCTTTTGGTTTGGTTTGGTTTTTTCCTCCTATTGAAATTAGTACTTATGGGAGGTGCTGGATTTGCATCATTTAAAATTTTTAATCTCTTTGTTAGAGTATGAGCAAAGGCTTTGTGAATTTTTGCCAAGCTCTTCTGTTAAGGGCTTATTTTTAGAACAGAAATCTTGGTCTACATCTATTTTAAACTACTATATCCATTTTTTTTGGTCATATTTCTCCTTTTGATAAGAATAGTAGAGACATTATTGTAGACATGTATCGGGTATATTTGCAGGTGGGAAAACTTATTTCTTAGAGCTTCACTAATTGTTACAAACTGGCTCAATTTATGGCTATACTGTAGGCAACGCTTTTTTTGGTACTCCTATGAAGTCTCATATTTTAATACATGAGGGTTTTCTAGATTTTTGTCACCCAAGAATCAAGAGTCTCATCTTGTGACTATCTGTGACTACCAGACTAGATGTGACTACCATCTGAATTTATATGGTTACTTTTGTTTCAGTTTTACTGAACTGAAACAGTAAGAATTGGGGGGTGGGGGTTGGCTTTTTGGTTTTGTGGGGTTTTTTTAACACTGAAGTAGTGCTTATGAGATGTAGGCATGACCTGACAAGGATAGAATTGAGCACTGCTTCGTTACTGTTTCTAACTGAGCCACTGGCAGACTGTTAAATTGTAAAATGACATCTTATATCCTTTCTATCAGATTTAGATATGATTTCTTGTTTACTCTTGATAGAAAGTATTGCAAAGGATACTCAATTTCTAGAAACTCTCACTTCAAGAGCTCAGTTTGAAGTAAAAGAAGAGACTTGCCAAACCACAGTAAATTTCTATGAATCATGCTGTGGTTGCTGAGGTTTAGTTCTTATGAGCATAGAAACGTAAAAGGCAGGTATGGGAGTGCCAGCTTGTAAGTACTGAAGCCCAAAGTGGAAATCAAAACAGCTGGGTGCCTGGACTCCTTCACAAAATACACAGCATAGAGAGTTGCTTACCCTAGAAGGGCAACCTACATGCTGATCAGAGAGCAGCAGCCTGGAATTTGCATTATTTGGTGCCTGCACTGCTCTTTAGTGCAGTGACACGGCCTCGGTAAGAAGGTGGAAACCACCTCTTTTGTCCAGGGAATTCAGGAGAGTAAAAAGGTACTTTCCTCCACCCCCCTCCAGTGCCTGTCAGTTCAAAGATCTAACTGACACCAGGTCTCATAGAAAGCTTACTGCTTTTTGTGAATAGTTTTATCCTAGTAGTGCAAACTGGACATACTTTGGGTGAGCTGAGGGGAGTATAGTACTTTTCTGACTAGTTTCTGCATTGCAATAATGCATAATAAGAAGGGGGTAAGCACAGAGCTCCTTATCCCTTCACCAAAACAATATGCCAGAAGAATTCCCGGCTGAAAAGGGGAGTTCCCTTAGGACGCAGGTGTCCCCCACAGTGGATGACTGATAACTGCAATATTGTACTTTGCTGTCTAAGTCAGAATTTAGTCAGATTTGGGACGCCTGAGTTCTCCTGTTTTGGACTCTGGTCTTAAAACTGTCTAATACAATATTTGGATCTGAGGAGTTTCCTAAAGGAAACCAACTTAAGTTCGTTGTTTTAGTCAGTCACTTCCAAGTCTGAATAAAGTATGTGTTATTGTGAGAAGAGGCTATGCTGAAGCTGTTAAAATTGGTTATTAAATCTGACAGCAGTCAATTTCTACTAATTAAGGAGAATTCTACACTCTGTATCACAGAGATGTTTTCATGGGTTATTGTAAACAAGCAGTTCATTCTAAAACTGAAATTGGCTTATTTTCCTTACTAGTGTGTTGTATATAGTGCATTGTTAATGTAGTTATGTTTACAAAGTAAAATTAATTTCTTCTGCAGAAGGTGAGGGTGAAGGTGGTGAAGATATTGATGATGAAGAAGAAGAAAATGAAGTTGCAGATGGAAGTCAAGAAGAAGATAAGTCAAATAAATCTGGTTCAGAAGATGAGGTAAGTTTGGTTGGTTGGGTTTTTTTCCCTATTTTTTCTTGCCCTTGTTCAACATCGCACTTCTAACTAAGCCCAGTTACCTACAAGTTTTTCTTCTGTTGAGCCATAAAACAAATCATGAGGTGCAGATGTGTTTTTATTTGTTTGACATATCAAATGCTCTATATACGTTTGAAACATGTTTCTTCCCATGTAATTTTGTCTAGGAGATGATACTTATTCTAGAATACAGGTATAGTATAGAAGTGACCATGCAGGTCTCTAAACATGAAACATTTTTACAGAAGTATAGTTTTTAACAGATTATTAAATGAATTGCAACTCTTGAAAATTTGGATGCAGCAGTAGATGTCAATCTCTTTTTATTATGCTACTTAATTGATGGAACACATACTTCTAACAGAATAGACTTTCAGTGAGACCTAGAAAAACCTTAAGCTTTCAGTTAATTGTTTGCTTGTTTAATTCCAAAATAAGGTTTTAAGTAAAATTACTATCTTGGTTTGAATTCAGCACCTGCAGTTTCTTTTTTCTTGTGCAGATTAATCCAGTCACCAGATAATCTATAAAATGTTTTTCAAAAAAATAACATTGTAGAATGGAATTTGTGTGTGCTTTTCTTGCTCGTCATCTGCTCATTATCCTTTCATTTAGAAACCCAGGTACGTCTGCAGTGCTTTAGATCCACCCAGAGTATTTCTGTTGGTCATCTTATGCTTGTCGCTCCCTAAATGAGTCCCTTCTCAGATTAAGGGAGTTGTTTAATGTGATGTATGTGATGTTAACTCCTTTTCATATAAAACTCCTCTAGGAAACTGTCCCTTGCATGAGGTTGCATTGTTTCAGCACTGAAATTCTTCATTTATTACCCCTTATTCAGCACTTCCTCTTGTTCCTGTGAGGAAACTTTTTTTTTTCCCTTGTGCATTTACCAGTAAGTAATACCCCATTAAGATGCACGTGCCTCTTTGTGAAAGTAATAACAAGATCTGAATGTGTGTCTGCCGTGACACAGTGACACAATGAGGTTATGTCTTGCTCTCCTCTGGGTATTCTCAGGGTGTATGAGCTTCTGTCATGAGTTAGCAAGTGACCTACTTGGGAGATGTCACGCACACCATGTCTTCGCTCACGTTGTGCCACATTCTGTGAGCTGTTCCTTCTGAAGGAGGTGCTCGCCATGAGGTGATGCAGGGAAGTGAGGAAGTAACGCGTTGTCTGAGAACAGGGTTCGTGTTGGAAAGGCTTTTCATGCGCCTCTGTAAGCTAATCACTTTTAAACCGAGAGGAAAGCGTCCGATCTAAGAACACTTTGTTCTATTTGTAGCTCTCCAAAGGCAGAATGTTTTAAATGTTAGAATGTTTTAAATGTTTAGAATGTTTTAAGTGCTTCTTGCTTAACAAGTGGAAATTAAAATTAGCATAAGATGCACTTTAAGGAAGTTGCGAACTTCATTAGAAAGTCACTGCTTTTAAACCACTGAGTAAATGGGCCAAACCAAATTTCTGACATCAGTTTAGATGTAGTAATCTCTTCCTTCTGAGTAGAGAAGGGAGAAGTCTTCTACTGACTTTATCATTAGATTAATATTTTAGGGAAAAGAAGTCCTATCATTTAAGTGTTGCATTTAGTGATAATATGATTGGGGGAGTAATAACTAAAGTAACATGTCAGTTTCAATAATTAAATTAAAATAGGTTTAAAATTTTAATGCTGAATTTTTTTGTTTTATTTATTTTTCAGATGAAAGAAGCTGATGAAAGCACATGTTCTGGAGATGGTCTGCTGAAATCAGTGCGCAAAAGAAAAGTACGAAAGGACTGAGTTACTTCCAGCTAGTATTTGTAGGTCTAGATAATAGTAACTTTTGGCATGCCACTTCAGGGGGCCTGACAGCATGCAAGTTACTGAGATGTAAAGAAAAAAGGGGGACTCGTTGCTACTTAACCTCCTTTTTTAACTCTGTAACCTCTTTTAACCTTCCCAAAATTCCTTGATTCTGTTTTTTTAAGCAGAAGTACTATCTGGGAGGAGTTAGCTGATGTTTTGAATTCAGAATAAAAGTGAAATTACAAGTTGGCCAACTGATTTTAAGGTGAAGATTCTTAAGATTTGAAGATTTATAGTAATTGGTATTAGTTGGAGATAAACTTCCTCTAAATATTTTTTAAAAAATATGAATAAATGATAATATTTTTGCAGCTCTAGCACAAAATTAGCTGTTTACAGTTTTTCAGCTAAGAGAGGATGATAGTATAGATGTAGCATCTACAGCAGTTTACATTGCTAGGAGAAAAGGTATTTTTTCTCTGCAGAGCTAAATGCAATAATTGTTTTTGTATGATGCTAGCAACAATTTTTATTGTAAATTATTTATTTTGGTTGATCTTGTTCCATGGGTGGTCACCTGTTCACTTTAGACATTGGTTACAGTAACTTATTTCTAAAGGATATTTTAAAATAGAATACTCATAGAACTAAGTGGTAATTGATGTGACTTCTGTTACTTTTGAATGCAGATATCAAATCTGCAGAAGTGATACACAGATTATTTTTTCAGACTTTTATAGTTCTCATGTTCCAAGCCAGAGTGGTATAACCCCTGCTTATAGAATACTTGCTAAGGGTACACTGCCTCCTAATACTTAGTAATTCTTGCTTAACATGAAATTTATTAATATAGATAAGAATTTTTGATGGATTAAGTTTTTTACAGATGTGAGTAACTGGGCATTCTCATAATATAGTTTAAATAAACTGCGTATTGTAAAAGAAAGTTTGTTTTGTTAAGGAGCTATATATTAAAACAAACAATAAAGCTGCAGTCGCCAGACACCTCTTGCTGCTTGGCAGCCGCCTATAACATTAGTAGGATGTAAAATGCTAGCAAAAGCAGTCGTACATTAAAAGCAAGTAGAAATACATGGATTCATAAGGAACCTTCCTGGTGCCTGGCAAGACGTTAGTTCACTTAAAAAAGAAATATTTTCACAGCAAACCAAGTCATCAAAGATTCCATGGAAGTCTCTAACAAATGAATGCTTCTTAATTGACCCTAATGAAGAAGCCAGTGTCTTCAAGTGCTTGTGTTAAAGTGTTAGAAGTTAATTATATTGGTCTCAGTTTTGTTTGAACTACATGGAAAGGCCTCTGGGGTTTTTTGTTTGTTTTGGGGGGGTTTGGTTTTTTTTTTCTTTCTTTGGAGTTTGTTTTGGGGGTTTTTTTGGTTTTTTACTTAAATGCAAGTTCCATCCTCTTTATTTAGGGTCTACATGCAGAAGGTAAGAAGTGAAGACTCCATATTCATCCTCCTGCCTATGACTTTTCAGTGATAGAGGTTGTTACCAATGTGGTATCCTGCTAGTAATAGCTACTGTGAGCTGTCAGGGAGCATTTCAGCACACCTTCTGAATGAGTCTTGCCTGAACCTGGTAAAAGGCCTTTGGAATTGTTACAGCACTTGGCTGTGGTTTGGGGGGGTTGGTTTTTGGTTTGGGATTTTTATTTTTTGTTTGGTGTCATATAGTTACTCCAGGCATTGGTCACCCCACAGAGGATGCTCGATGCTAGTCTTGCGGTAGGGTTTTGAAATTAAGGTTCCCATGAAGTCTTGTTTAATGCCCCATCAACATTGTTGCTTGTACCTCACTTCAGTAAATAAGGAGCTATTTATAATGGGTAAAATAGTCTTGTGAGGCCATGACTCAAGGGTGCTGTTTGCAGTAATACTGACTCTGTAAGGCCTATCTCACTTTAATACTGACTGAATGACCGATTACCTGGAGATAGAAGACATCCTTCTGCACATCAGCTTACTTGGATCTAGCCTTATGCTAGTAATTAAGCAAGAAAGATCAGGGCTTTGGGGATTTAAGGCTCTAGATCTAGAAAGCCAGACAAAAGGGGAACCCCTTCCATTGACGCTTGCAACACTGAGATTTCACCCGCAGTTCCTGCGCGTAGTCCATTTATATCTGAATAGGTATTCCAGGAAAAATACTTGACCTTGCTATCATGGCTGCTTGAAAGGGCTTTTAAATTGACAAACTAATGATAATCCAGTTCCAGGATGCCTTGCTATTAAAACTGTCAGTCATCTTTGGAACTCCCTGAGTATTAGACCTCTGCAGCCTGCACTTTCACCAGCTATGTCATAGCTTACTACAAGTGGTCTCGGTGAGGGTGCCAAATCCCAGACTGAGAATTTTCTGTATTCAGGGAAGGTTAAATTGGACTGAGGGCTTTTTTATTTAATTACAGCTGAAGCTACACCTCAGTTAGCTTCCACCTTCATGAAGGTATGATGAAGTTATGATTCTGGTTTCTGTCTAATGTAGAGCTCACTACCTGTTTAGGAAAAGGTAAAATCCCTTCTATTCTAATTTGGCTTAAAGTTCTCCCAGGTGGAGAGGTGTGTTTTAGCTTTAACAGCACGGAGTGCAGTCCACCAATCCTTTTCCTTTTTCCTTTAGCCAGAACAGGAAAGTATACACAAATGTAAGATTTACAGGTGAAAATACCACATGAAGTAGGAACTGGAAGCTTGCTGAAAATAGATTAATTAACCCATGCTTAATCTTAATACTTGCTAATTACACTTAACCATTCCAACATTTCAGCTATGTAGAAACATGATGCCAAGCCCAACTATTTTTCCACCTTTTGACTACAGATAATTAGAAGTTTTAGGGTTTACAAATGTGAAACCAAACTAATAGAGACAAATCAAAAGTTTTTATTTAGTGTAAAGTCAGAAATACAACATCTTTAAAATATTTATAAGTTAAATGAAGGCCACAGTAGTGGGATGTAAAACGCTATATAGATGAAATGACTACTTATATACACACCGATGGATAAAATAGCACTATCCAATCTTACAATACAAAACCATGATTTTAAGATTACTTGATCTTGGGAAACTGGTGAAGTCTTAACAAGCGCATGCTCCATTACCACATGATCTCTTACAGCGCAGATGGAGATGTGCAGTGACATGACTTTAAAGCTAGGATGGCTGTAATGCAATGCAGTCTTTAGAAGTCAAGTGCTTGGTTTGATTGTTCTTTTTTTAATGCTCAAACCCTGGACTAACCATGTGATCTGCTCTACCTGCTAGGAATTCTTAGATGAACTTACAGTTCCAGATAGGCAGTAAAGTGAGAGAGTAGTCTATAAGAGATTAAAAACAATTTTGGATGCTTACAGGACCCCATGACAGAAATGGTATCAGCCCTGGGTGGGCAAAACTTAATTTTTATTATCATGGTTCTTGATTCAGACTTGTTAACAGCCCTCGAGACCAAACTATTAGTGCTTTGTTTGCAATCACTTGACTTTGCTGACACTCTAGTGAGCACTGTATAGTCATCTTAAACAGGAGACCCCTCCTTTGGGAGGGAGGAACCTCACAATGTCAGCTTACACTTGAGACACAGCAGTGCTTAGCTGCCAAGAAACCTGGGTTTGGGGGGGATTTATTCTACTATTTTATCGAGTTGTTTACTTCCTGCAGCTTTATTTTATAGAATTCATCACAGCAAGGTTGAGAGAGTGCCTTGAACTAGTGGTTTCCTTTTGTTAAAAAGTACAACGGCTTCATTACTGAAAAGACAGAATCCCTAACTAAGTCTGCAATGCTGCTGTGTGGCAAGATGAAACAGATGCAACTGAGTACGGCTAAAACTTACATGGGTGGTTGTATTTCAGCTTCTGCTCTCCCTTAATACTGATGATGCTAGACATGCCGCCTCTACAAGAAGTGCTCAGAGCTCCTTTACAAAACCTGTTACCAAACAGCCAAACCCGTACAAAACAGGGCACCTTGACACCAGGCACTGCTCAGAGCAGCACAGACTTGAGAGGCAAAAGCCACCTTTGTTCCACTGCAGTCTTCTGCCTTAGATGTTTTGTGCAGCACCTCAAGAGGCACTTCACAAGCTCAGGGGGAGAAAAACAGTTGCTCTAAGGCCTGAAGCAAAGACAAGTTTGGCACTTCAGGAGGAAAATAAAAGGTGTCAAGGCAAGACTTGTTCTCAGTTCCTCACTGCAGATTGTTCACGATGGGCGTGAGGAACGCTGCTGACCTTTTGTTTCTGTAAAGCTTATTACTCAGGTTTTTATTTAATTCTTCATCACACAACTGAAAAGCTTCAGGGAAGATCATACATCATGATACTGTGCCTGATCATTCTTTGAGGAAACAGGAAAGTGAAAATGGTTTGAAGTGTACACCTTACAAACTGCAAACACTCTTGACACTGCATCAGTTCAGTATTTCCCTGATGTAAGTTGCTTATCCTTGTTCCTCCTCCTGTACCCTCCTCCTTCCCAAAAAAATCTTGGGTGTCATACTGTTACTACTTCATAGAAATTCTTAACTGGTTTATAGGCTTCTGTTTAAAGTTGTTTTGCAGAGCTATGGCCAGTACAATACAGTAATCTAAATATATTTGAGGTGAAAAAGGTGATGCAATTAGACTTTGAATATTTTTATCAAATGAGGTTTCAACACAATATTGTAACTGTATTATTTTGCTAGTCAAGAACACTACCCTAAGACCTCAAAGAGTGCAAACAGAGTTCTGTGTCACCTGACAAACTGAACCCAGTTTTTAACAACATATGCTCATTTTTAAAACAATATGAAAGTTTAGACTACATTTGCACATTGCTTAATCTTAACAATACACAAACTTACGTCTCCTGTTCATGGTAATGTTCTTAATTCAGTTTATCACCAAAGGTTATAAATCTTCATGTATCCGTTAAAACCACAAACTAAGGTATTTTAGCTCATGTAGCGTTATGCCAGTTAAAACAAAAAAAGACAGCAGCAATACAACGACATCATCTGTGGGTCAACCCTTACTTCCTTTTGCTTTTTGTGTCAGTTGTTTGGAAAACACTAGATGCTGACATCAGATTTTCTATATACTGTCCAAGAACTTGGTTTTCTGATTTCAGCTTCAAGTTTTCTTCCTTAACAGCATCTACTCGTGCTGAGAGATCTATGAAGGTGATAAGAAAAATATTAGTCACTATTGCGTACAGTAACGAGTATGTTCTATGTGCCTGCATCAAACTAGTCACGCTTTTAACACCAGGAAACACTGCCATAAGGTATTATCTTACAAAACACTGCTACTCACAAGTTTTATCTAAAGCCCATTTTCCCTGTATTATTTTGTAGTACAGTATTTTGACAAACTTGTTACACAAACTTACTGTTAGTGTGTATCTTTATTCTTTTATTGCATTCTTTAATTAAGTTATTGCAAACAAAACTACTTAGAAACAAAAGTGATGAGCAGACTCAAAGCTGTATGTCAACTATTGAACTTGGGAAAGTTAACTGTATTGCCCCTTCTGCTTGACAGGTATTACAAGAGTCAAGCAAATATTATGTTGCATAAAAAGGAGAAAAAAAAAAGTTCTGAGACCTTGTTTATGTAAGGTCCCAACTGTGTAAGTGACATACTGCTGGACACTGACTAAAGCAGGGCTGAACAGCAAGGTTCTCTTTGGCTTATGACTGTGTGCTTGTGAAAAGATCTGATGTGACCAACTGCTAACCTTCAAGTGTGTGCTGCAGTTCCAAAACTTGATTAATAAGCCGTGTTTTCTCTTCTAATTCCACCTGATTCTCAGCCTCAACAGCTGCAATAAATCATACGAGCTTTAATGCAACCTCTGTAACAGCTGGAAGTTAAATATTAAGTAGAAAAAAAAGAACAATGAAGAACATTTAAAAGTTCTACCATCCATGTCGGCATTCATCATTGTAGAATGGGCTCTTTCTGCGTGTGAAGAGGGTATTCCCGAGAGATGCTCTGCTTGAGAAAAAAGACAGAGAGTATGAGGCCACTGTTAATGTAACTGGATTTAGGTTTCAGATGCGTTTTGCTGGTTTGGGTTGAGAAGCCAGCACCGAAGCCTCGGGCAGAATGACCTTTTTTTGATTATTTTTCCTAATGGCGTAGGTCAGTACGACTCGCTGCGTGTGGATGCGTCAGTTTACAAACACAGCTGATGGAGATGACAGTCTCGTCGGTAGAACACCCCTGCGCCTCAGCCGCCTCCTTCTCGGCACCGATCTTTCTGGAACGGGCTATTCCGGAGACACAAACGGGGTCCCCCCCTCCGCGGCCCACCCCCTCTCCCTGTTATCACCGGCAACCGCATCGCGGACATCAGGCCGCAGGGACACGCGTCTTTGCTCCGGGCCCCCGGCACCTCATAGCGCGTCCCCCGCCTCCGCCTCCCTGCCCTTCGCTGCGG